AGTGAATTCACCCTGTAGGTCTTTTTTATTACCATTGGACCATTGTTGTTTGATTGTTACATTGATTGACACTTGTAATTTTTATTTCAAGAAAATATACTTAGTGAGATGTCAGATTTCATATTTTTTCCGTCTTAAGGGTTGTTTAAACAAGCCCTAAAACTTTTTTTTTAGTTCGGACTATTTTTTCCGTATTCTGTATGGTTTAACCTATAACTTTCAACAAAAATTATTTGAATCGTGTAATCACAGCTGATGCTATTTTATTTTTACACAAAAAGGTCCGTTTCGTCACACTGTGGGGCGTCGGGTAAAACTCAAGCAGAACCTATTTAGTTACAGGTATGCGTGTTTAACAAAGAGTTAAATTTTGAGGTAGATGCTAGAGAGTATAGATCTGTTATTTCAAGAAAAACTAGAAAAGAAATGTTTAGCAAAGAGAAATTGAGTAAACTGAATGATAGTTTGTATTGTTACAATATTAAAAAAATAAAGGTGCAGGGTTTCTTGAAAAAGTGAAATGCAAAATGATCAATGAGAATTATAAATTAGATTGTTACATTTTGTCTTGCTCAAGATACCTTGTTTTAATAGGCATTTGAATGTCGGTATTTTATCAAAACAAAACATTTTGAAATTTGATTCGATTGATACTCGAACTACCAGTACATTTAATAACTGTTTAGCATATCACAAGGTGATCTGAAAAATAATAAGTTAGTTATTTACTTGAACGGAAATGTTTAGTCAGTGGCACTACAAGTGAGGGATTTGCAGTATACTATAAAAAAAGTTAATAGAAAGAAATAGAAGGCTTATGGGCCTGGGTCATTTGACTCCAGTTTATTTTAGTGAATGGATAACACTTATTGTATCAATCACTAAGCGTGATGGTTTGATTAAAATTTGTGGAGATTCAAAAATGACTCTTAATACTATTACTATTATTAATAGAAGTCCCTTGTCACGAATTCAAGATTTTCTCACTGTAATGCAAGCTAGTATAAAGTTTTTGGAGCTAGTTATACCACATATCTATATGCAGAATCTGGTGTCCATAAAAAGTCAAAAGTAACTACCTGGCTATAGCTACTTATAAAGGTTTATTTGAATAAATAAAAATTTCTGAGGGGGTATTGACTTACCCAGACGAATTTCAACACATTGTAGAAAATGTTTTGAAAGGTATTCTGAATGTGACTTCCTATATAAATAACATTTACGTTACGGGAAATAACGACTCTAAAGATTTAAGTAACTTATGGAATGTGTGTGAGCATTTAGGTAAATGAAGGCTCAGAACTCATAAAAGCAATGATTAAATCGTGCAAAAGAAAAAAACCACTATTAGATTTTTTTAACGATAAAGCTGGTTTCGCACAAGGCGTATTGTTTGATATTGAATAGACTGTAAAAGTAAAAAGGGGGCGCCAGATCAGCAGAGCTACTCGTGTCAAGCCATAGATCAGAATATGACAAATGCAATAAGAAACACTCAATCTTTTAACATTGCATTAAACAAAACTTTAATTAATGTAAGCAATAATATATGGGTTCAGCAATGCGTCTAAACCTCAACGTGTAATATAATGTAGAAACAAATATAAGGGTGAAATTATAGGTAATAGCTAATCTCCGCAAAGAATTGTTTTTATCAGGCAAATAAAAGCTAAGGATTCGTCGAACTAAGCAAGCACGCGTCTTTACGTATTGTTAAATGTTCCAAGGAGGGCTTTACTAACGAAAATAAGTTTATTAAATTATGCCAGACACTTGAAAATCTTTAATTTTCACAGGGTATTTATAAGGAATGACTGACTTGTTGATGGATCTAGTTATCATAACACTGCTACAGTTATTCTTGATTATAAACATGATCCTAGAATACATTAGAAGGCGTATCGGAAACGCGGAAATTGAGTTGTCTGTTTTCACAGTTTTGGCGATCTACTAATACCTATCGATATCATGCTATATATTGGAGTTGAAAATTTGTAATATAACCATGTATACTATTAAAATAATAATCCTCAGAATTTTGGTAATTCGCATTTGAAATCCCTAAAGGCATAAGTGTATAAGGCAATGTTATAGCCCAAAATCCTTCATGCGCTTTTGAGCAGTCATTAGAGAATCATTAATACTAAGTTTTTTTGGAACATCTTGTATGCTGGGAGTATGATATTTTCTACCGAACAAGTTATTATGAAAATATTATTACGTTTTTGGCTAAGCAAGACTCCTTACAATAAATTTAATTTTTAAAATTAACAAAAGTAATGATTAATTTCACAAGGTAGATCAAATGATCTTTTTTCTATCAGACAGCTACAAAATTTGAAAAAGCGAGTCATTTTTAGTAAACATTTTTCAGCATAACAATGTAGCTGTTGATATCAAACCCAATAATAATACACTTTGCATTGTCATAATCTGCAGTCTTTCTATTTAATTTCAACCAAATTATTCTATTAGCCGACTCTTAGGTTTTTCTAAGAGTGTTCCTAATGATAGCACTACCGATAGCTTGGGTTCATCTGCAGCTATTCTATTATATACGAAAATAACGTACTAAGAGTTAAGCGTAATATAACTAGTGGGACCTTACATAATAAATGATAATCAGTGATCTTCAAAATTATA